GAAGGTCAAGGCTCGCATGGCGGAGTTCAGCTACAAGAAGGCAAGACCAGTCAGCAAAAAAAATAAAAAATAAAAAAGAAGAAAGAAAAAAGAGGGGGAGAATCTTTCACAGGTAACTTACCACCATGGTATGAGAAGTAGCYCGGGCACCGAGCTGACCAGGAGTGAGATCAGCCCATTCTATGACCTCCTCCGGGTACGCAACCTCCTTGCTCTTCTGGAAACTACACCGGGGGTTCAGAATACTCTCATCCCCTGACTCTCCGAGCAAGACACCATCATCTCTGCCACATGGGCAGACTCCTCGGAAGCCTCGGTGGCGGCATCCATAGGACAGGCCCCAACTGAAGCCCCAGCGGGACGTGCCTCAGGAGCGGCTTCTGGTGCACCTCCGGTAGCTGTCTCGGCAGGCTCAGTGGTGGGCCCTGTCGTCGTCTTAGGACCTTGAGGCGCCATGTCCTCCTCCAGATCGATGACAGGCTGGACGCCAGGGAGCTCGGGCTCCGGAACCGGAGCCTGTGAAGGCTGAGCCTCGGCAGAGGCCGGCGGAAACTCGACGCGTGCCTTCTTGGCCACACACTTCTTTATCTTCATTTGGCGAAATAGCCTCTGGCCGTCAATCTTCTTCACCTCCATGGGACCTGCAGTGAAGCTCGACGTTAGTAATCCCGAAGTAAATATGTGGACAAAAAGCCGAAGTGAAGGAAACCGGCTCAAGCCGGCCTAGATGAGCTTCTCCTCGGCTGTGAAGTCTTTGTAATTTAACTCGAGCCGAGCCAGCGAATGGAGTGCCTTCTTGGTCTTCCCATCTAGGATGACATCGGGGTCTTGAACGGCCACCCTCCAGTCAATAGGGAAGGGCCACCCCATGCTGCTCCGAACTACGTAATAGTCCCGCTTCCAGGCTGGGACTTTACTCGGGAGCTTGTGCATGAATTTGAAACCCGGGTGGGGAGACAGATAGTAAGACCGTCTGTGCCCGGGGAGAGTGCCCGAAGCACTCTTCTTTATGGCCAAGATTGTACTGATAACGTCCAGGTCAATGGAAAGAGATCGGTCAAAACAAAGGGAAATGGTCCCCACCACATTCCGTATGGAGTTTGGGTGAAGTTGGTCCAAAGTGATGTTAAAGTGCACCAGCACCTCAACAATCAGGGGGTGAAGAGGAAGTTGGAGTCCGGCTATCAATTGCTCCTTGAAGACCACGATCTCGTCAGGACCGTGCTCCCATGGGAAGTTGCCGGTAGGAAGACTGTATGAATATTGCCCAGGGAGGTTGAACCTCTGTATGAGGTTCTGGAGCCTCTTTGGGGTCATGGTGGAAGGGCCAAACTGATCTGGCACCCGACCTCGGTGGGAGGTGGATGCCAGATGACCCGAAGCCGCCCGTACATCGGATGGCTGGGCGGCAGAGGAGCCACCCTAAGCCGAGGTACCCACCTCGGGCTCGTCGATGAGGCTATCTACATCTACGCTAGACGACATTACAAGGCGAAAAGGAAAGAATATTCGGAAAAAGAAAAAGAAGTTCGGAGACTCACCACAAGAAACGCGAACTGAACTAGGGGAACAAACCGAGCTAAAAGACCCGAGCTGGGAACCTCAGACGCGAGCTCAACTCTGACGCTGGAGACTTTGTGGCAAAAAAATGGCCAAGGGTCCCCCACTATTTATAGCCGCTGCGCTCGAGCATTAACGGTCACGATCAAGGCGATCCAACGGCTTTCAGAAAAACCGGCTACGGGTTCCTTGAGGTGAAATCAGTTTAGTGCGTTTTTTCGCGTTTGCGAAGTCCAAACCGTGTGACGTCTGTGCGTATGCTGAACGCGACCCGGGTTCCTTTTGACTGAGCCGGGAACTAGACCGGTCCAGTTGGGCGAAACGCGTGACGAAGCGGCATGAGTGCCGAAGCCAAATCCACCCGGTGCAACATGAACTCCCCGTGCTGGGTCAACACCGCCAACGCAGGGAGTGGGGGGCAATTGATGGAGGGTGATTTGGCTCGACCTCGTAGCACGGGTACACGTGGGCGTGACCTTGTTCAAGCGATGACTTAGCGTGACAGCACAACAGGCACAACCGCAACTCAATGGGAAAGTCACACCGAGTTCAGTCCGGCAACTCGGCGGGATAGACTACTCGCCGGGATCCGCCTAGCCTGTGCCTCCTCCCCGGGGCTAAGGCACCCCGAGCTGCCTCCGAGCTCGGGGCCCCCTGACCTCTCCTAATATCCGAGCCCCACCAGTGGACCTCAGGCTATCCCAGACAGGAACTCGTGAAAGAGTAATTCGGGGACAGCAACCATAGCTTGCCACAGGCAGCTCGCCGCTTACGGGATAGCCCGACACAGAGTAACTCGTGAAAGAGTAATTCGGCATATCGCAGGAAGATCTCCTGCCCGACCACCGTACCTGACAAATCTGGGGACAACAACCATGTCCTTCGTCAGACAGCGTCGTGCCTGCCACCTTTAGAGGGTGCCTTACACCTGACAAGCACGTACCCTGCAATGACGGCCCCGCACGTGCCACCTCAGCCTTGCTTGTAACGGCTGCGGCAGGCTGACAGTGGCGGTTATACYTGCCCTGTCAGAGGCCAATGGGCCTGATTCAACGGAGTTCTGTTATAAGGAGCCTATTCTCAAAGAACGAGGGATCTTTTGATCACTCGCGCTATCTGCACTCTTAGCCTTCACCTTCTCCTTGCTTCTTCCACATAATACTAACTTAAGCGTCGGAGTGTTCCCGCCGGGCAAACCCCCGGGGATTCTTCTTCTTCTTCATCTCTGGTACCCTTTAGGAGCCACGCAAGTGCCAGCTAGGAGTGACCGGATTGCGCACCATCAATTTTCATTACTCTCCTTTTATGAACCTTTGCACACACATAAACACACATACGAACTAATAGTGTAAAACTATTTGGCTGGGAAGCCTAACTTGTTGTCAGCTAAGAAATATATGGTTTAAGCTGAAATACACCCGAGAAAATCATTGTAATTTATTTGATGCCTTTCTGAACTTCTTACTGTATTTCTAGTATTAGTTGTGTGTTTTTTTTTTTGAAGAGTGACCTTGATCTAGTATTGGTTGGTTGATGCTTATATTTTTGGGAGTTAGATGATTGATGTCATGCATTTTCTTTTGTAGAGTGATCTTAGTGCAGCTGTTGAGCTTGGAAAGGATTCTATAAACCCTTGGTTGATTTCCACCATTAAAGATCTAGTGAGGAAGATAAATCCTCAAATGTCGAAGTACAATGTGAGACTCCTTGGTTAATGGTAGTGGTTGGTTTACTTTGATAACTCTAGGTGTTCTTTTAGCCATGATTGATACTTGTTTCAGGGATACCATTTAAGTACTAAAACATATCCAGGAAAGGTGCCCTTATCTTCTTTGCAAAACTCCTCAAGGAATAAGATCATTGAGATAGGTATTGCTCTTTTTTTTTCCACTTCTTTCTTTCATTCACATGTGATGTACTCCTTTTTGGAAGGGTGATTCTATTCATGGTACTTGAATGTCTTCATCATGTGTAAGTGTAATGTGCATAAGGGCTTCTTAATCAATACATCCCTTTCCCCCTTAATTATATATACATATCAGCATATATTATTAGGAAAAATGATTTAAGCACTAATAATTTAACAGTGGATATGGATTTGAATAGAACGGATTGGTAAAACAGGATTCATGTAGCCAACCCCATACGGTTGGGATAAGGTATGGGTGATGATGATGATGAAACAATATTAGGAAATAGCTGAAGCTGAAGTTGGATTGCTAATTATATTCTTTAATATTTAATTATTTTATATCTTTTAAAAGCTAATTAAAGGCCATTATTCAATGTTGGTCCCAGCTATCTGGGGTCTTGGGAGGGGTAGACTGGATATAGTCCTAACATTTGCACTTTTTCTTCCGCACAAAGTGGATGCGCTCTCAGAGTTGAACCTGTATTCTCACATTTGTCAGCCTTGAGATTTTACCATTACACCAAGTAATGGCCCCTCACTAGAAGAAAACTAACCAGAGAGAACAACCAAGTCTGCTGTCTGCATGCTTGAAGAACATCAAGAAGTTGAACAAGACCGAGACTTTGAGAGAGTGACGGAGAGATAGATTAGAACTGTCCCAGAGCATGAGTTGGACTAAAAACAAAACCATTTTGGTCACCATGTCATGAGTTGAACTGGCTGACTGTCCACTTGGACTGTTTGATTCACTTAAATAGAAAATGTTAGAAATAAGAAATACAAAAAAAAAAGAACATTGGCCTACATTATATTTTAGAGCTATTTTACATCAAAATAATCTTAAAACAATAAGTTATAGGTTATAATGGATATAAACACATGTATTCAGCGTAGGTTTGATCAAGTCAACATTTCTAAGAACTAGACAACCTAAAAGACATTTTGTCTGCAGGTTCCTGGTCAGGCCCCAGTCAGGTCCAAGTCTGGCAACACTAATTATAGTCTACCTAGTTTCAATTCTTTTTGCATCTTTTTTCTCCTCTATTTTTTTCTCAGTTTTGATCAAAGCATAAGGCAGAATTCTTTGTTTTCACAGTTCATTTTTGTGAAGTTATCGACTATACACCCTTTCTGATCAAATGTTCAGTGTTAATATCTCTTGCTTTCTGTCTGGGATATTTTCATGAATCAATCTTGTTAATATGTATGGATTAGGGTCCACTTCTAGTTTTGAGTTGATTTTCAAGGTTTTAATGTAATTCCCATTAGCCGCTTAGGTTTGACTACCTCAAACTATCTCTACTCATTGTAATTTTGTTTCAATTGAAAGGAGTAACCTGTTTCAATGTTTAGTCATATAACTGAATTCATGTTATTTTGTTAACATCATCCACCTTACATCCATAGGCTTCAAGCAAATTCTCCAAATTTCCTCTTCTATTTTGTGTTGAAATAGTAAGAGCTTTGGGTTATTTAATGTTTAATTCTCTAAAGAGTGATATACACATCTATGTGTATATTTATCTTGTGTAATTACAAATTTTCATTTGTCATTGTTGTGATCAAGGTGGAAAGAAGTACCAGATCAAAGGCTGCGCAGGTCAAGGTGGATTTGCTCAAGTATTCAAAGCATATGTTAACAGTAATCCTGATGAAGTTGTTGCTTTGAAGGTCATTGTGATCTCTATGGTCATTTTATCTTGGCTACACCCAGTCACCCAGATATCATGTAATTCAGGTTTAACTGTCATTATCTTTTGAATTGTGGCAGATACAAAAACCTCCTTTCCCCTGGGAGTTCTACATGTATCGTCAACTGGACAAGCGTATCACTGATGAGGAAGTATGCTAATTGCCTAATTTTTGACATTCTCATTAATCATGAAGACCTTGATTGTTAGAAAATGTTGTTTATTTATGACCTCTCATTTTTTTTTTCAGAGATTAAGCTTTGGTTTTTCTCACAAGGTGCATATCTATTCTGACTATAGTATATTAGTCTGTGACTATTTATCCCATGGAACACTTCAGGTAGGTGAATCCCATTTTACATTTGTTGATTTGATCAGTTATATCTTGCAATTGAACTCATCTTTGCATGAATATCTTGTGCAGGATGCTATAAATTCATATCTGGTGGTTGGCCAGAATATGGAAGAAGTGTTATGCATTTATTACACCATAGAAATGCTTCACATGCTGGAGACTCTTCACAGTGTCAATATAATTCATGGTGACTTCAAGCCGGATAATTTGCTTATGCGCTATTCCAGGTAATGAAGATCTTACCAGGGTAAAATTTGTTCATAGTGTGAAATAAAACAGGAAATAATGCCATTCGCCTGCTATAGTACTCTATAGCAGTATGGCTGCATATATCCTATCACCCACTTGTATGAATTTGAATAATTCATTTGAAGCAATTTAACAGTGTCCATTTGGTTTGTCCCAACCAAGTTTCAAAGTATCAATACATGAAATGCAAAAATTGCATTTTGTGCATTATAAAGCTTCAATACTCTTTTTTTTTTCTTTTTTCATCCTAACATTTCAGAATTAGGTAAGGCAAGAGAGGATCTAATGATTGAACCTAGATCCCCCAATCCTTTTAAATTGCATTTCAGTGGGTTCAAAAACCAATATGTATTGTATGATACACACTGGTATGTTCTGATATTTTGCACCTTGGTCCCAAGTCCTAACCAGTTGGTTGTTTTGTTATTTCTTGATATTGAGTTTTCTGCATGACATGCTATAACCATGTAGTTCTCCTGGCACTGTTGAATTGATTTACATATGCTAACTTCTTAGGCTGTTTAACGTTGTGTGTTTGATTGCAGCAGAAAAAAAGAGGAATAAAGCATTATGTGTTTGAGAGAGTAAAAATGGCAATCAATATATTGCAAATTACATGTGTTTGAACTAAAATGGATCTCAAAATTAATCCATTTGGGCTAACTTCTGTTTAGCCTTCCTTTATTTACTCCTTTTAAAACTCATTGGCATATGGTCCAAACTTCTCTGGTTGTCGAGGATGCACTGGTGCCTGTGTGCTTCTGTACATTACAGAACATTTGGAGTGTTTGTGTTCTGAAATCTGAAAAAGAAGTTGGAATTTTTGTTCGTGGAACAGAAGTGTTCCATTCAAATATACCAAATGCTGGTGTAATTTGCAGCCTGACTGTCCCTGATGCTAGACATGTATCAGGTGTCAACTCTTGTGTGGGTCAAGTTAGTTCTCAAATTGCTTGTTGCTTATATTTATTACTATATTATATTATTTATTATAATGTGGCTTTGGCCCCTATACGGGTGAGGTGCCAACTGACCTAGACTACAGGTTACTAGCAAATGCCTTGGTCCCGTGTAAAATCTTAAGAAGACAGATTAGTGGGTCCTTTAATTATTCATCATCATTAACATTGCCTATTCTTGCTTATTCCAGTGTATTTATCAGTTACCTAGCTTTATAATATTGAAATTTGAAGTGTAATAAGATGGCTGTCCCTTCGGCTGTGTTTGGAAACAATGCAAATGGAGTGTAAATCCCGGTTCAGGGTAAATTTGCACTCTGGTTCACTTTTGCCTATGTTTGGAAACATTACATTTATGCACTGACAAATGACAGAAAACACATTTTCCAATGCATATTTACATTGATAATAAGATGTAAAAGTACATCAATAAAAAAAGAAGTAAATTTTCATTCAAGTGGTCTTTTGATAAAAAAGGCATATGCTTTATTGGAATTTTTGTTTGCATCCATTACAGCTAAAAGTCTGTTTGGTAAGAAGGTAAATTTGTCAGTGTAAAACTGTTGCGAAATACAGAGGGAGAAAAGAAGAAGATTTTCTTTATTGATAATTCAAAACATATTGTGCATACACCTTAAATAAGAAAAGATAGGAGAGACAAACCCCTAGAATTTCTCTCAATCAGGGATTGACTAAATCTTTCCCTTAATCCTAGGATCTGACTTTCCTAAATTTATTCAAATCTAATCTTTCCTAAATTTGTTCAAATCTCAAATCATATC